TAGCTAGTTCCCATTTTTCTTTTTCTTCACGAGGGAGTTTTAATACTTCCTCATATGTATTAGGTGTTATTTGTTCACCATCCATATGCATTATGTAATCTCTGTATTTATTTGGTATTTGATTTCTGTTGTTCCTAATAGCTCTTTCAGGTTTGCTATGGTAGTCATGCAAATATCTTGCTTCCTTTTTTGTTAATGTGTCTGTCTTTATTTTGTGTTGACTATTTGTCCATGTTTTGGTTTTGTTTTTATTTTTGTTGATATTTTGATTTTCTATTGTCCCTTCCTCACGAGATTTTGTATCTTTGCATTTATTTGGAAATATTTCATTAAGATGTAATTTAGACCAGTTGGCCTGTTCATGGAACACAGCTGTTCTGGAGACTATAAATTTGTTATTATTATCAATGAATCTGTACCCTTTGGTGCCAGTTTCATATCCCATAAATCTTAGTCTTCTGGATACGTTTTCTCCCTTTCTTCTCAACTGTTTAGGTATGTGTACGTCTGCAGTGACCCCAAATATGTGCATGTGTGCTAATTTTGGTTTCCTATTATACATCACCTCATATGGTGACTTATTCACAATACTGGACCAGGTTCTATTTTGAGTGTAATTTGAATAATGTAAGGCTTCTGACCAAAATTGTTTGCCTAAACCAGCATCCTCTAATGTGCACCTAATCATGGTTTGTAATGTGGAATTCTTTCTCTCTACAATCCCGTTCTGGAACGCAGAAAATGGACTAGACGTGTAATGTAGCATTCCTCTATCCTTTAACCATTGGGAGAATTCTTTAGACATGAATTCACATCCCCTATCTGTCATAATTTGTTTTATTCTGATATTATGTTGTGTTTCTATGCGTTTGTAAAATTCCTTAAATTTTTGAAAGGTTTCATCCTTGTGTTTTAATGTGTAAACAAAACCATAGCGACTGTAATCGTCTACTATTGTTAGGAAGTAACGTTTTCTATAAGTGATTGATGGAGTTAATGGGCCAACTAAGTCCATGTGTACTAAGTCAAAAATTTTGTTAGTTGATCTGGTGGATTTTTTGGCCTGGGACTAGTTTTTAGTTTAGTAGATTTACATACTGAGCATTCCAAATAATTTTCACAATTTTTTATTTTGACACCTTCTGCGTGTTCAGTCATTTTTTGTACTACAGGAAAACTTGCATGTCCAAACTTCCTATGTAAGATGTGAGCACACTCGTCATGAATTGGTTTACCTATTTTTGGTTTCTTCTCATTGTGTGTATCTGTGTGATCATGAGATATTTTACATTCATCATTGTCACTGTTACTAATATTTTCATCATCTGCCTCAATACAATCTTCCATATTTGAATCAATGTTATGTAACCATCTTTCTTTTGTTATCAGATAGGGTAGGCCTCCTTTAATCATCACAGTGCCTACATTTGTTTTATTCTTCTCTAAAGTTGCTTTTCCCTTTGAGAAAACTATATTGATGTCAGAATCTCTGCTTAGTTTTATGGCACTTAGTATGTTATGAGGTATTTCTGGTATTAACAATACCCCCTCTATTTTTCCTAGACCAGGCAAGGTCACATTCCCTCTGCCTAATACTTGAACTTTTTCTTGATTAGCTACCTTTATTACAAACTTATCTTCTGTAAATGAAGACAATATATTTTTGTTATTAGTGGTGTGATTAGTTGCCCCAGAATCAATAAGCCAATTATTGTTCTCATTTTGTTGCGTTTTAGTGCTGTCTTGTTTATTTAGTCCATTCAGTGAACCAGATTTTCTCTCTTTTGAATTTTCTCTGCCCCCTCTACTTTCTCTGTAATTTGGTGGGCTTCTATATTTATGTCTATCTGTGGAAGACTGTCTATAATTGTATTTATTCCTATATTCTGACCTATGTCTTTCCTTTGAAATTTTGGGACAATCTCTTCTATTGTGTTCCCTGGACCCACAATTGTGGCATTTAAAAGTTTCATTATATTTTTCTTGGAAAGCTACCTTCCTAAAAGATTTGTGTTCTGTGTGATTGCTATAACGATTTTTTCTTGAATTGTCTTCTGCTATCAATTTGTTAGACAGACTTTCTATTGATAAATATCCTAGATTGATGGTGTCTAAGTGTGACATAAAACTATCCCATGATGAATCAAGTGAATTGATAATAACACTTTTCATTGTTTGATCTGAAATCACTTCCCCCCTCAAATGCAGCTCAGCTCTTATTTTGTTTAAAGATATTAAATGCTCACTTATGGAAACCCCTGGTTTTACTCTGGAAGAAAAGAAGTCCTTAGACATTCTTGTGGTGGTAGCTACACTATCGCTGTGAAACAAATTAAACATGCATTGAATTATTTCTGAAACAGTTAGATTTGGTTTGATGCTATGATACATTGCAGGAGACACGCTAGATATTATTAAGAAAAATGCCTTATGGTGTAAACAATCTATTTTTAAAGTCCAAGGTCTTCTTGGGGACTAGTGATAAAAAATAGTAAATTTTCTTTCATAAAGACAACCTGGAGCTGTTGATACCATTCTTGCAAATTAATGCCATCAACCCTAAGTTTTGGGAAGTCACTGGGTAAGTTTCCCACATTATTTTGTCCATTACTTACAACCTGAGGTAGTCCGTGGTCTCGCAAGTGTAGGAAATTGCAAAACGGCATGGGGATGCTCGCAACGAGTCTGCGCGGTTCTCTGGCCAGTTCAAGTCTTTCCGGACCGTCTACGTAGTTTCGCACATGCGCGTTGTTCATTTCTTCTTTGGCGTCGTCGTGGAAGGTTCTCTCCATTGTAGCTCGCTCGCTCCGCTCCTCTTCAGACGAGTCGGTCTCTGGCTCGGTCTTAGGAGTTCTGATGGCGGCGACTGTTCTTCTCTTTCTTTTGGGTGCGTTGGCACTTGCTTCGGTCTGCGGTGTAGGGCGGAATCGACATGGCTCTCTGGGCTCGGGCGTCGTCGCTCTCGAAGTCAGGATGGGAGCGTGCAGGTCTTGAAGTATCGGCTTGTTCGCTTGCTTCTTCGTTGGCGCTTTGGAAATTTTTAATTTTGGCCCAAATGCAGCAAAAAGCGTCTTCATTGCTGACTTTACTTGGGATTTCGTTAAGTTGTCTTCACTTTCTGATTCTGGCTCTTCCGAAGAGTTTGAATCCTCCTTTTCACTTTCGTTGTCTGATAACGTTTTTCGCGCCAGAAATTTTGAACTGAGCATTTTGATTGGCTCTGCTTCACTCACTTTGGAGGCTTGTTGAAACCAAGATGGCTGCCATTCAAAATTTCGCGCGGGATCTCATTTTTTCTTTTTCATAACGACTTTCTCTGTAGTCATATTACTCACAGTTTTTTGGTCTTTGGGTTTCTCTTTAGCGATGTTTTTCTCTCTCGCTGCTCCGCTGTTCTTCAGCATTTCTTGGAGGTTCGCGATGAGGCTTTCATCACTCTTCTGGCTTTTTAATAATTTCAATATCTCTGACCTGAGTTCGTTATTTTCTATTTCGATTTCCTCCTGGCCATCATTTTCATTTATTAATTCTTCTTCTTCAGTGGTGTATTCTTCGGATTCTCTCGAAATCGCGTTTGTGGATTCGTTGATTATTTCTTGTTCAGTTTCTATTTCTTTGCTGTAGGCCCTGGTGTTGGGCCTATCTTTCTTAGACATTTTTAGGTATTTATTGAGTCAATTAACCATCCTCTGCTACCAGCTTGTTGCAATATTTTCAGGATCAGACTCAATAATAATAATAAGAGTTAGAGGTTTAAATATATTTCTCTTTAATTATAATAGGCATTCTATATTCACTGAATATTCACAGATAGAAGCAAAGAAAATGGTGAAGGTGGCTCCTTATATATACAAAGGGTGGAGCCAAGAGTGGGAGTGGTGAATTATGAATACATTAAGAGTCAAAGAATAAGTTAACCCCTGATATCCCATATATACATTATTTACACATTAGGGAATAAGGCATTTACATCTGACATCCTTCTTAGTTCTAGCTTGGTTCTCTCCTTGATATGTTTTCATCCAATGTTTCTTTTTTATATATATAAAAGTTTTTTTTTTTAACAAACATGCACAAACAAACAATGCATTTTTTCTGAACAGAGTATTGGCCGAGTCACAAATTTATACAGCTTTTATTTATCTCCAACACAATTTGTATACTTCACTTTTTGCATAATATTCTCTCACTTTAATTTTTCTTTTCTTTTCCTTGTTTCTTCTGATATATAACCAATATTACCATTCGCCCTAATCTCTAACTTAATTTTCACAATACAATTTCCTGTCCTGCCTTCAGGTGCTTTGGAGAATGGGTTGACCTCCTGTTGTTTGTGGTAGCCCCTCAAATATTGGAACACTTCTATCGTGTCACCCCAATCCTTCTTTTCATTACACTGGATGTACCCAATTCCTGAAACAGTTCTTCATATGTTTTAACCTTCTCTCTCTCTCTCTCTCTCTCTCCCTCCCTCCCTCCCTCCCTCCCTCCCTCTCTCCCTCCCTCCCTCTCTGTCTCTCTCTCTCTCTCTCTTTCACATATATATACACACACAGAGTCATCTTTGTCTATTCACATTGGTTTTGTTCACATTCATCTATTCACATTGGTTTTAGGTAAAGGAATCAAAAGAGAATTTGGATCCATCTCAGAAAAATAGTTTGGAGAACATTGAGCAAAGGTGAAATAACCCCCAAAAATCACCATCCAGAGACAGATCTTTGCATGTCCACAAAGATGAATTGTTTTTGGCACGAAGTGGTTCCAGGTAGCTCCACTTGGATTAACCACACCCAGAATTAGTCTACAAGGAAGAACGACCCTACTTAGAATAGGGTATGAGAAGAATCTTGCTCTGATTCAAACCATCGGATTTTAACGTCTCATTGATTTTAATACAAAGAATGGATACTGATAAAACGACGCTCATTTGAAACATGATTAAAAGAAGAAGAGAGATTGGAAGTTAATACATTCACACTGTTTTTAGGAATGGACTGATGATAAATAGGACCACAGTAAGGGAATTCATATTGTTGGGGATGACTGACAACTTTCCCCTTGAAATTAGCCTTTTTCTCCTCCTGTTCGGAATTTATCTTCTAACTTTAATAGGAAATGCGGTGGTTATTATTATGACACAGGTGAATGTTCAACTCTGTAGCCCAATGTATTTCTTCCTCCGATATTTGGCATGGGGAGATATTGGGTATATGAGTACTGTAATTCCCAAAGCACTGGTCAACATAGCTACTGGGAGTAAGAGCATCTCTTTAGCTGGTTGCTTCATACAGATATTTCTTTATTTGGTCCTTGGTACCACTGAATTCCTCCTACTGGCTGCAATGTCTGTTGATCGGTACATAGCCATCTGTAACCCTCTTCACTATCCAACCATCATGAATAACCAAGTTTGCTCATTATTGGTATTTTGTTGCTTGGCAGGGGGGATCTCACTAATTCTAGTTATATGCATTCCTTTATTTCTGATGCCATTTTGTGGTCCTAACATCATGAATCATTTCTTTTGTGACAATGGACCTCTAATGAAACTGGCATGTGCTGACACCAGCTTTCTAGAAATGATTATTTTTTTGGTTGCCATATTCTCTCTGCTTGGGACCTTAAGTGTCAACCTTGTGTCTTACGTCAAAATCATTTCCACCATTCTGCGCATCCCATCCACTACAGGGAGGAAGAAAACCTTCTCCACTTGTGCTTCCCACATGACCGTAGTTACCATCGCTTACAGCAGCTGCATTTTCATGTACATCAAGCCGAAAGGCACCAGCGGATTAGACTACAACAAAATGGTGGCTCTTTTGAACACAGTTATGGCGCCTCTTCTCGTCCCAATCATATACTGCTTGAGGAACAGACAAGTCCAAGATGCTCTGAGGGCTGAACTGAGACACAGGATCGGTTTTGCAAAAAAATGAGATGATTTGCTATCGATATGATTGGTTCAGATTTCATGTCTTAGAACGCATTGTTAAGCTATAGCATGTGCTGCCTTCAGAAGTAACAATCACCCACAGAGATGCTCTTACAAGGGGACTTGAGAATGGATAGAGGATGAGGTAATCAGGGATGGAAACATGTGATTGACATCAAAGGCAGAATCCCTGAAAAATTGGTTGCAAGTGAAGAACAATGGAAAAAGACAATTGCCCACCTCTTCTCATTGTCAATTTACAACACACATCTGGTTGCAAAACATACAGCTCCCCTCTGCTAATTGTTTCTTGTATCTAAGTATGTTTTATTGGTAGGCCCTTTGTGCAGATCATAGGTAATATGATACAATAAGAGATTTGGTTTTGGTTCATGTATGGAGTCAATATTGGTGAATGTGGCTATTCCTCTTGAAGTTTTATCCCATCTAGAATAACGGAAGTGGGGAATGGAGGTGTGTGATTATGGAATATCATCAGGCGATGGTGCTGAGTAAACCTGAATATAACAGAAAATGCATAGCGAACACATGAAACGTGAGATCCAGGGCTAGAGAATGTAGAAATTAATGTATGTAAGCTGCCCACAGTCACCTCAATATCAAGTGGGGAGCAGATAAGTTTAATAAATAAAATGAATAAAACAAGTTCCTATCAACCTGGTTTTGTTGATTAATTGAAATCAACCCACAATATTATGTCTCTCATTTAGCATCTCGTTTCTCAAGACCTACCAAGAACTCATGCAAAGTTGCTTTGGCATATTGGGGGAAAGTTGGCAGACAAGACTGCCGTTCCTTAACTTGCTCACTATGACTTAGAGTTCTCATTTCTAGACCGCCCCTTTTTTGGTATCCAAATATCAAGGAGAGATTGAACGAAGAGGGAGTTCTTTTCTTTTCTTTCTTTTTTTTTTTTGAAAATTCTTTTTATTTTTTAAAACACAGAAATAGACATACATCTTTTTGGAATTATTGATCCGGTCATAAATTTGTTCAGCTTTTGCTCATCTTTAACAAAATGTTTTATATTATATTTTTGCCATAATACTTATCACAAATCTCAACTATTACCATCTTATAAAAAAACTAACTCATATTAACTTGATCAAAGCAATAACCCTTCTATTAATCCACTTTAAGTCTTAATTCAATGAATACCTCATAATACATTTCACAATTATTACCTTAAATACTCACTATTGACAATACAATTCAAACATGTTTATATTTCTAAACCATATTTCCATTTCTAAAACTTCCTTACTTTTTTATTACTTCTTATAATATTCATTAAATCTTAATTTAATTATTACTTCCTCAAATTTAAATCTTATCTCTAATCTTGAAAATATATCAATTTGACATTTAAACAAAGTTCTTAGTTCAAATAACACAACATAATACAATTCACAATTATTTCCCTAGATTCTGTCTATTTAACAATACCATTTACTGTATATAAAAATCAGTTACATGAGTCTTATTTAGTAAATCATAATCCTATATCATTTCAGTTTTCTTTTCTTTTTGCTTAAATGAATGTATTATTAAAAATATTCAAATTATTACAATTGTTGTAGGTATTTAAACAATATCCCAATTATTATAGCCATCAATTTTCTCAAATAATATCATCCAACATCTCAATAAAAATTAATTCATTATGTCCATTGATATATTTTCTTTACATAATCTAATTTTCATTTATTTTCGCTTCCATCTATATTTTAATTCTAAGTATCTGTAACATATTTCTCATTTCTATCTTCATTTCTCTCTCCCCTATTTTGCCCTATCTATCCCATTGTTTCCCCTCCCTTTCTTTTCCTCTTATTTTACCATTATTAATCTGAGTATAATCATTAAATCAAAGTCCTGGACTCTTCTATTTAACTCTATATTCCCTAGTATTTTTTAACCTTTTTCTTTTATCATTCCACTGTTAATCCCAGTGTAAACATCTTTATTTTTTACTGTAAATCCCAGCATAATCATCTTTATTTTTACTGTTAATCCCAGCATAATCATTTTATCTTTACTGTTAATCCCAGCATAATCATCTTTATTTTTTTCCATTGAAAATGTAATCACCAAAAATCTCCTTTTTATTATTACTATCCACATATTCAATAATTTCTTCATATTTAATCATATTGTCTTTATCTTCTTTATTTTCAATCTCTGAATCTTGCTTCTCCATCTTCATTTTCCTGTCTGCTTGCGTGTGCTTCATTTCAGCTTTTATGTCCTCAAGTTTTAGCCCTCCATACAACATTATAATCATTTCTCTTATTTCCATTTTCCATGGCAGGTACATCAATTTAATAATTTCTCTAATTTCCAGCACCATTTTATTCTTTTTAAGTTAGTATTGTTCCGATTATAAAAGTTCCGTTGTATTCCCCCTTTTTTCCCCTCAAAATCAAGCCGCTTGCAGACAAAGAAATCCTCCCCCAAAAGTTCTCATGGCTCTTATCTGTAAAGTTCACACTTTTCCAAAACAAAGTCCAAGTTGCAATTATTCCTTTATACTCCTGAAGGTGTCTCTCTGCAATCCACAATTACAAAATGTCAAACAAATATCCATTTTGTTTCAATCTACATCAACAATCTTATTTAGCTTCACTATTTCTTTTTAGGTTTTAAAAATATCAAAACAATTTTATAGTCCAATCCAAATTTAAACAGCTCTTCTCGCTTCTTTTTTCCTTTTTTCTGTTTTAAAACTTATTGTCGATTCTCTTTATTTTTCTTATAGTTTGAAAAAGAAAAGATCTACTTATTTCTTTTCGATCCTTTAACCAATTTTGGGCAATTTCTCAAGATATTTAAAGTATCCAAATAATTTTGTTCAAAATCCAATTTTCCATCAGGTTTTTATCACTTTAAGATTGCGCTTCAGAGCCTTCTTTTCTCCCCCCCCCTGCTCATTAGTCGCTGTTTCATCGCTTGCGGTCTTAAAGGTAAAAAAATGTTTTCCTTATTGTTGATTCAAACCATGGGTTGGCTGTCACTCACCCAGCTTCCAAAAACTCTGTTTCATTCATCCCTCCTGCTCAATGCTTAATCCGGTTGCTCCAGCTTCATAGCAGCTGCAAAGGCTGCCGTCCCCCACTGCTGAGTCATAGAGAGTTTCCTCTGACCTTCGAGGAACTTGCCTATTCCTCTTGGTCTTCCGAGGTGCCTCTCTTTCTTCCCCATCCCTGCAGGATGGTTCTGGTCCGAAGACCCATCGGCAGCAGTTCATCAGTCTGTGTTTTCACGGGGCTCATCTGAGCCCACTATTTCCCTGACTGTCTCGCTGTGACGTCAAACCGGAAGACCGAAGAGGGGAGTTCTTGAATGACTCAGAATGCAAGCAAAACTACAGTTAGATAAAAGAAATATGAGTGCAGAGCAAAAATGGACACCGAGTTTCAAGTTCTGGTCATGTTTTGTGATGTTCTGCAATTCTTCCTCAGATATCTTCTGTCTGAATCTACTGGTCAATGGAATCGGAAACGGCCAAGTCAACTTGATTTCCACCATTTTCCATGAGTTTTGCAAATGTGTGCTTCTACTTTTCTACTTGAACTTGATTGAGAGAGAGCTGATTGGTATTACAGGTAATCCCTGGGATATGAGCATTTCCTTAGTGAATGTTCAAAGTAACACTATTAGACCCCCCCCCAACATTTATGAAGAAGGCCTGAAATTATGAATGTTACAGGACCACAGCAGTTGTTTGCTCTTTCGAATGACCGCAAAGGCTCTGCAACATTAACCCCATCTATCCTTCCCCTCCCACCCGTCAAGTGATTCGCAGGTGAGAAATGCGGACCGGAAGTGCATGTGAACGGCTGGCAGAATGCTTCTGCAGTGAAAAAGGAGGTGTAGAAGGCTGTGCGCGGCCTCCAGGCCTCCTTCCTTGCCTCCAGACCCCTTTTCAAGCCATTCGCACACACTTCTGGTCTGCATTTTTCACCACCAAAGAGTTTGAAAATAGCTCTGGAAGCGAGAAGGGAAGCCTGGAGGGCCGCACAAGGCCTTCCACGCCTCCTTTTCATCTCCAAAGCCTTCTTCAAGCTCTTTGCTGATGACAAAGGAGGAAGCAAGCAAAGGAACAGGCTGGAGAGGAGACAGATCTTCATAAGGTAAGTCACCAGGCACGGCAGGATGGGAGAGAAAGCATTCTCAAATCGAATGTATGCCTCAAAAAGTGAACATGAGTTATCTCAGGGTGGGGAAGTCCATGGGGGGGCTAGTAATGGAACAAGCCACCTACTTCAGACCACCCAAGGTCTCCGTCAACCTACGAAAACTTCATTTTCCCTCCCTTGGGGTCTCCACAATTGCTTCCTCCCCCATCCTGCCCCACCTGGCAGTTTTGAGCCAAACTTCAAAAGGAATCCAGTTATTTATTAGGAGCTTCATGCTGGCACGTTCTAAAGTGAAGCTAGCTCTGACTCAACATAATTTACGGTCCCAATCATGCCCCTATTTCCCCCTTCCCACAGGAATTGCCAACAGGGCAATTTCACGGGTTGTAGAGATCACTCCCCTTCAGCCACTGAAAGTAACCCTGGGACACAGTCTTGAGAGAGATAAGTCTGGAATGTGCATCTGTCTTTGGCTGCCATGCCATTTCATCAGTTCCCATCGCCCTTTCCTATGACAACTCTAGAGCAGGCCAGGGATGCTTTGTGAATTGACACCAAGAAGCTTCTTCAGCTCTGACTGGATGGTGGAGAAGGAAAGATTTATACCCCTTGTATACAGCTGGTCATTTGCATTCTTTTAGCGAGTCATTAAAGCCACCTGGAGGTTTATATGTGTCATCTGGGTCACCTGAGTGGTGCAAATGGGTGTGGAAACCTCTTGGAACTGGTGAAAGGACTGTGTTGGAGACTGGAGATAGGTGATGTCATATCCTTCCCCCTTTGTTGAGAGGGGGCTGTTCAATTTTGACATAAATGGTCTTTTTGACCCCTCTTTCAAATCAGCAGTCCTCTGTGTCCAACCACACCGGCAACAGTTTTGCAACATAAAAGTGTACATAGATTGTTTCCAAAACCAGAACTATCCATCATAACATGAAAACCATACTCTGACAAAATTTAATTCTGATATAATTGTGCCCATTGCCCATGCTGTTCCTCTACAGAAGGCCCTGTTGTTCTAGAATGTATTTTTTGAAATCCCAATTTAGACTAGTGACAGCCAGATCTGGCCCTAGGTTTTGCCTTGGGTTACCTTCCCAATAAGCAACCGAATGGG